CTCTTTCCTCCTGGTTGGCAATCTTCTTACTGTCATGGAGACTCACAGCCTGGTGAACAACTGCGCCTTCTGTTCTGGTGGATCTATACTGACATTATGATGTGTGGCTTGTTAATTGCAATGGATCTGGTCTAAGTGAGATCTCTAATAAAGACGAAAATTATTCTGTGCTTTAAAAATGTACTGTAAGCGAAAACATCACTGTGTAGTGCTGTGAAATCACTGTGTGATTTCCAGGGATTTGCACTTCTGCAGATACCAAAATTGGCAGGAAGTGACACGGCCTCTGTGCAAAGAGGACCAAAGTCACCAGCATTTCCTCGAGGCCTGTACGGCTTCTGGAGGATTCTTATGTATTTTATGATGTGGTTTGGCTCTGGAAGGAAGGAACAGAGAGAAGAGGTATACATACTTAAGTGCAAAGACTTAATAAAACCCCAGTCCTTAGTCCTCATTATTTACATGAACATTAGATTAGGACCAAATTGATTCCTCATCAAACATGATTCGAGTCTTCTCATAATTTTTTGCTTATTATATATGGAAAATTGTCTATTTTTCCATCAAATTTGCCAAAAAATCCCATTTTTTGACAGATGAGGATAGTTTGCTGTGTTGTCTTTTATGAATTTGTTTAGAGCAAAGAATTGAATATAATTTCAGGTATCCACATAAATAGTCTTACATCCAAACAAATCCCATGCCGAGGCATCGTGTCTGACGGGGTAAAACTCTTAATATAGCACAGCTTGGCCACACACGGATTAAAACTCCAAACTGAGGACAGTCTGTGTTTATCATTGGCTCCACATGCTTATAAACTGTTTTCTTCTTTACAGTCTTAACTATAAAAACTTCAGAAATTGTGGCAGAGAGAGGTAATGACAACTGATTTAACTGGAAAAAAAAACCCACATGCTTTTAACCACTTGCTTGGATTCTTAGATTACAACGGGACTACTCAGAAATGAGTTAATATGTAACTAACATAATTGCTTTATAACTAGCCATCGGCCTCATCGGAGTCATGATTTAATTTCTGTTCTTTAGTTAATTGACGCGTAGTGTCCCGTAGTGTCCATAATTCTAGCAAATTACCGTTTCTGAACCACGGAAAACAGCACACCACACTACACCACACTGCCCCCGCTTTTTTGGACCCCCGCGGCAGGCCGCAGCTGGCCACACCTGCAGGCGGGGCTGAGGCCCTCCCAAACAGGGAAGGCCCCAAACCCTTCTCAAGCAATTCCTACCGAATGGAAGAGG